TCTATGCATTCAGAAAGAAAAGAAAGGAACTTAAACGATGCTCTTAATTAAACTTGAAAGAATTGATATAAATTACATTTTATGTAAAATTTACATTAAAGTGTATGTACAATTTACATTGTACTGCTGTTCTTTTTAGTCTAGCATGATAAGCACTGACTTCTAGTATCCTGCCAGTGTGTTTAGACACAGTTGAGCAGAAACGAAGTGATACTAGGGCTCTGCTTTGTGAGGAATTGGAATCGTCAAGAAGAGAGTTTTTCTTAATTTCCTTTGAAAGTAGCAAATGAGTTAGCAGTTGCAAGCCAAGATTAAGCAATAGACGTTTCAAAATGGGGACCGAGACTCTCAGAATCAAAGCAACAGCCAGTGAAGATGGGATGAAGGGAATTGACTCTATTAGTGCATGAGAAAAGCAATCGGGGGGAGTTCAAGGTAGTGTTAACTAATTACTGTTAATTGAAAATGCTAAGGGAAATGAGAGAAAGAAAGAAGTACCGATCGCTGGCGACTACTGATCCTCGTGATTTTGGCTTAGAGGAAAAAGATGGTAGAAGAGAAGAGCTGCTCCCGTGAGCTGAATTTATGACAATAAGAGCAATGTTTTTACCCCTGGTGTAATTGGGGGTGCAATCTTGAGTGTTCAAATGAAGCGCTGACAGTTGACGCTCGTTTCGGGGTGAGTGGGTGGGAACCTTGTCTCTTCCTGACCCCGGTGTTTTGTTAGGGCATAGAGATGCTGTTGTGCTGCTGAAAATTGCTGGAGCCCTTTGGAGATCCCCCTTGGAGGCCTATTTGCTGTTTCCCTTTGTTAGAATTTTTGGTTAGGACTTTGTGACAGATCTGGCCATCTGGAGCTACGTGGCTGAAAAAGCCACGCTATAAAAAAGCAGAGCCTTCTTACTGAGCTAGGTGTGGGTGGCATTTCGATTTCAAATTGCTTCTATACTTAAGTCTTAGCTAAAAGAGAACTCCAGTAAATATTTCTGTGTTTGTTGTGGTAGGAAAATGTCATCTTCTTTCATGAAAACCTAAAAATCAAAGGAGAGCTTATTATAAGGTATGGTAAATGACACTGCTGACACACTCACCAGCTAATTCAAAACACATGGTTTATAACTGCTTTTTAAACTACAAACTATTCTAAAATTTTACTTGGGCTCTGTAATTGTGAGGTGGTTCAAAGAGTAGTATGTGGTTTAAACCTATAGTTGCAAATGTTGACTTTACAGAGCCATGTTTCTTAATGTTGCTAAAAGAAAAAGAATAGAAGATTCTTTGTGGTCTATGGATCATTAAAATATGTTAAACTAAAATGACCTTAAATGAAATTATTTTTATATGTTTGTAACAAATGGAGAATAGCATGAAATTATATTTTTGGAACAAATAGAGCTTGAACCAAGAGACTCAAATTTATTTTTTTTTTTTTAATTGCAAAGATAAAAGGCAATAATAGATAGGAAGGACTGTGAGGTGTAATGGTGTGCCATGAAAGTAAACATGACAAATGAGTAGATCTATCTTTTTCTTTGAGATAAAGATCTTTGTTCAGGCTCTGACATAAATGTGTCTAATGCTGTTTATGCAATGCCACAAAGACAAAGAAATCTTAGTTATTTAAATGCACTCTTGGTTATGTCTCCTCCAATTGAATTGTTGGAGCAGTGGTTGAAATGTCAGAGGTAAATTTTAGAACACTTCTACTAGGTAATTTTTGATAAGTACATACGCAAAACTTCTTTTGAAATGAGTCAACTTATTTTTTCTTTTGTCTGTAGTAGATAATAATTGATATACTTGTGAAGTATTACACTTTGCTGGATTGTGTAGAAGGTTGGAGAAAAAGATAATGTATGCCAGGCACCTCTGACTAGATTGGATAAAACCAGAACTGGATGAAATCCCACTCTCTTCTCTGCAACTTCAGAGGTCTCGTTGCAGTTTAGTCTCTCAGTTTCTCTGCTGAGGGAGGAGAAAAAGCATGATTTGGTGTTTTTGACTATGCAGTGCAGGCAGAGTTAATAAATACATCAAGCAGTAAAATATATTTTGACAGGGGCTGTTGGGAAACTAAAATTCAGTGTATTAGAAAAGATGAATGGTTACTAAGCTGATTAACTCATAACTCAGTATATCAACAGAGAGAATACTTCCTCTGTGCTTGATGCTGACTTCATTTTCCGGCGTGAAACTACTGCCAAGAAAGTTGTTTCAACAGTGAAATACTAGTTGATGGCTGAGATTGTTTGAAGGGCAGCGGGCACAAAATGAGCCATCCTTTCCATCTGTAAGTTTGGAAAAGCATCTCAGAGTCTTACCTTCCTG